CCTGTATAACGCGTGCCGATCGAGCCACAACTGTTCCTGTAGGCGACGGTCGCGCTGCTGTCGCACCCCGTGCTCGTTAGCGCCTACGCGGTCGTCTCCTCCGCAATTTGACCGCTCAACGACAGGCAAGACAGCGTGGAGGTCTAACGCCGTCATTAACGGGAGAGCGAAGCTCAGTTACTTTTGAGGATACGCACTGCTGGTCTTCGGTGTAGGATCGCTAGGCCAGTAGTCAATTGGCTCCAGCTCCGGCGGTCCATCGTCGTCGCTATCTGCGTCACAATCGCCGAGTTCGCCTGTATCTCGGTGTGAGCAATTTACAATGAGATACACGTCAGTACGTACCCTGCTGGGGACTCTGCGCCTCCTGCCTGTCAGCGGACATGAGCTAAGAAGAGCTTTACAGGTCCGATATCGACGCACGTCGCGGCCGACGCAACGGAGTCGCCAATGTGGGCTGCGGGGCACACCTCAGTGTTCTGCGTCTCGCTGTCTTCGAGGCAAGTTGCGATTGCGGCCATGGGAGACTCTAAGAAAGCTTACGACGAATGGATACTCGTGCGCGCCAACTCTCGACGTGCCCATTGGCATTATTGATATTCCATTCGGACCCGAGCTCCCCTCGATCGAGGCTATCTCCGACGCGCATCTGCGCATCAAGGTCTACCCCTGGAGGTCCGTGCCCTACATTTCGGACTATCTACGCTGACTTTGAAAATATTCTACATGCACAGGATCATGATATCGGGCCGTGGATCGAGTGCGACAAGAGCGCATCACTTCACAATAAGGGACTCAGTACTCAGCCACTCTTTCCGGAAGAAGCATTCGCCTAGCTCACCAGCTACGCATGCGAGGGTCCCTCCTCGTCCGACCAGTCCACCTCGCGATGGTTCCAGAGGAATTCTCTGATGCGCTGTTCGCACATCGTGAGTCTTTTCGCTGCTACGTATGAACATCGACGCTCACCTCTTCGAGAGGCTGGTAGTACAACTGGCGCAACGAGCGGCCGACGTCCTCCGGCCATATACGACGATAATGCTCATACACGCGGTGCTCGTAGGCACGCTGCGCTTCTCTGCCGCGTGCGCGATGAATCTCCCAGGTTTTGACGCGGGCCTCAAGGAAATTGGCCTTGTGGCTCCGCCCCACACCTCCGAAGAAGAAGAAGTGCTGCCTTGGGCGCCGCCTACGAACGTTCGGATCGATGATGTCTTCCATCGGGTCCGATTCCTCGGCAGCGGGGGACGTCGGTCGGCTGCTACGCGTCTCGCTGTCCCCCTCGCTCTCTGCCTCAGTCCCCCCGCTCTCCTCTTCGGACCCTCCGCTCTCCGCCTCGGATTCCTGACTGTGCGCGTCGGACTCGGTCCGATGCGTATCGGCGGCATCGGGGCTCTCCGTGTTGCGACGTGCCGACATGGTGGATGATTGCGAACCCAGGTGCAGCCTCAGCGGACCACTTTTAAGCTCTGGGTACCAGATCATAGGCGCGGCACCGTCTCCTTGACAAAGACCCGCGATTTCGGCTGCAGTTGCCCTTGGACGGCCATGCGGCCGTTGTACGACCCAGCGATGGCGTCAGTCGTCGGGCCGTACTTCCATGTGCATATCCTTACTCTACCAATGATGTATTTAGCTACATTTCTATGTCATATAATACACTTCAGTTCCCGCCTCGTATTGTTCGCACCGTACCATAGTCTATTACGTCTAGCAAATATGTTAAAGAGACCGTACTAATACATTCTCGTGACGCAGTCACGACAGTTCATGATACCCCCCGGATGCTTGCACCTCACGCGTGAGACGTCCACCGTATTGACATAAGTTTCGGCCTGCCCTACGTGCAGCTCATTCAAGCAGAGCTCCCCGCCGACAGACAATATATCCACTGGCACCCCGGCCTCGCTCCGCGCCTGTAACATAGCCATGATCGATTGCCATAGCGTCGCCGACACCGTGGAAGACCTTTCCCCCCAGAATCCCAGCGAGTTATTGAAGCCGGGCATCAAGCCGACATACACTTCCTTGAGCTGGGGAAGCGTATCACCATTGCTCAAGAGGTCGAGCATCGCGCGCGGCTCGGCGTGACCCAACGACCAAACTTGGTTGAAGTTCAGCTGAACCTCCTCCACGAAGTCGTAAGTAGCCAGGACGTCCATGAGCAGATTAGTATCGGCACCGCCTAGTTCTGGCGGGAGCATAGGCTCGCCGTCCCACAAGAGTATGCGGGGTTTCAGAACCTGCAGCCCGGTGAGGACCTGCGCGACGCAATACGCCTCGGTGACTGCTCCACTACCGACGCCACCCCAGGTGTCGCATTCCTGCATGGAGAACGTCACCGTGCCTTCTCCTCCTTTCACGCGTGCATGAAAGTTCATGGCTCCTTGCACGGGCCCGGCACGAACTGCGATCAGGTCGCATTTGCGAGCGGTAGCGTTCTCGGCGTTGTCGTCGCCAGCGGCAGCGGTAAGTGCGGCCTCTGCGATCTCGGCGAGTAATGCTCCACCGTGGGGCTCAGGAACCGCGTCTTCCGCGCCAATCAAGAGCGGTAGAAGCTCTTCCGCTGCTGAGCGAAGATCCTGCGCGACGAGGGGTGCTCCGTCGGCCGGGATAACTTGAGGTCCCAGCACGGGATTGAGGTGAGCGACGAGTGTGCGATGGCGTCCGTTTCGCAGCAGACTCTCCACACTTTGCAAGGACTGCATGAGCATCTCGAACGTGGCATCTTGAACGGAAAGCGCATGCTGCAGCGCTTCTCTCGCCGGTTCAAGGGCATCGTAGTCGGCGGGCCGAGTGAGATGGCAAAATACGCGAACCTCCGTCAACTTCGGCCCACGAATGCTCTTGAGGAAGGTCACGCTCGCCTGCGAGTAGTTACCATGCAAGTAGACTCGAGAGAGCGCAGGCATGCTCAGTGGCTCAGAGTAAGGGGCGATGTCGGCGGATGTCTGTGCCCAACGAGTGTGCAGGTGCACGAGCGCGGGCGTCCCTTCAAGCATGAACAGCATTTCGTGCACACGGACGTTGAAGACCTTCAACAGCATCAATTCCACTGCGTCAAGTCCTAGAGGCGTCGTGAGGTCCGCGGTGGCGAGGTTGGGAGTGTGTAGGCGGTCATATATGTTGATCGGGGTTGCCTGGCTGTCGAGCGCGCGCACACGTAGGTAGACGAGCTGCGACATGTCGGTGCCGCGGAGGATGTCCATGAATGCCACACGGCCCCACTCGCGAGGTCGATTGATGACGAGCTTGCGCAGATGCAGCTCGGGGGTCAGAACGACTTCCACTTGTTCGCGTGTAAAGTAGTGCAGTTCGAGATCCTGGAGCGATTCGGGGTTGCGGAAGAGTATGGGCGTCGACGTGACACACACCGAGAGAGAGCGTGCGTCCAGTGGTTCCCCCGTATACGATGGCAGCGGTGTACGGGGCATGTAACGCTCATTCGGCCGCAGATAAAGAACCTTGAGGTTGGGAAGCTCCCTCTGCGGGAAGTATTCCCCGAACGAAGTCCAATGGACACGATCCGTCGCGTAGATAGCGCCAGCACGAGGAATACAGGAGATAAGCGTATTGCGGTTAACCTCAGGACAAAAAGATATTCTGAGATCGATCGCTGGGCCAGCGCGATATAGCATGATGGCGAAAACCTCGTCGGTAATGCCGGCCGTCAAGAAGGCGCTCCAGAGTGCGCGATACTGCATGGCGGTATGATACCACCAGCGGTTAACCTTTGTGACGCTGATAGCTGCACGTAGCAGCTTGTATCCTTCACCGTTCTCGTTGAAGTAACCGGTTCCGGGTGCAGCGTCGTCGTCCGGCCTTAGCCAGGAGAATATCTCCCTCACCAGATCCCCGTTCAAGCGCGTGATAGGCGGATTTGGTACCTCCCACGTAGCTGCCGAGTTGAATGGTGAGCTCCGTCAAGTATGGACAGCCTGTGCGGATACCGAACTTACCAGGCGAGGTCGGTGGCCCTATCGTGACGTCGTCGGGGGAATGTGGAGGGGGAATGGGAACACCTTCTTCCTGTGCGCGGTCGTGCGCGCGTATGGCCCTCCATTCCCAACCTGAATGTTGGAACCAGGCGTTATTGAGAGGACGCCAGCGCCGATGACCTGAGTACGGTGTGCGCGCAATACCCGAGGCTGACATTTGCTCTGATCCTGGCCGCCAGGTCCAGCTCGAGGTCTCCTCGTCGTTTTGATGCGGATCTGCGTCAGAATCCCATATCGCGTCTGGATCCTGAGGCGAGATGGCTGGTTCAGCATCCCATCTGCGAGGCATACGAAATTAGCTATCAGTAGGCAATACGTGCTTCACTATGCCACTTACCCATCCTGCCAAGGGTTCTGCTCGTCCTCCTCATCCGTGATGACTCCCGCCTCCGATGCCTCAGACTCCGCGCTCTCCGCATCGCTGCCGAGACGAATCAGTTGAATGTATCCGCGACAGATGAACGGAGATCAGTACTTGTCAGTATCCCATACGTTCTCGGGCTCCAATTGTAGATCCTCGAGTCCAGCCATGTTATCGATGATTGCTTTCGACAAGACAGCACAAGATCGTGCAGCGCACAATCGCGTACGCAGGACCTCTGCTGAGCCTGTGCCTGTCGGTGTTCCAAGACCCTGATCCGTCGCACCAAGCAACTCCTCAACCTTCTGGCGACGCGTACCGTGGCCATAGGCAGCCAGCCACGTTCATGCTGTTCTTCGGGCCACTGTATCAACACCAAACGGTCTCCAAAACACACGGCATCGTAGACATGAAGCCGGGGCAGATGTGGACCCAACAGCGCGGCCATCGTACTTCCACATCAGACGCAGTTCGCTCGTGGACATGAGGCGTAGACAGTGCACGCGCCGCGTGATTGCCGTGCCTCACTAAGAGTTCGAGAGCTCTGAACAAACTCATCCTTCACGCCCACTACTCAGTGCCGCGGGCCAAGCGCACAGCCTTCCCGGATGGAGGACGTTGCTTACAAGTTGCAGGTGTTGATGGACGGTATGCGGGACCATATTATTCTCTGCCGAGTAGTCGTTGACGCGCCATGTAGAGTTTGAGGCCCTCGACAAACGTATGTCGGAGAGAGGCGTGGTGAATGGAGACCGCAACATATTAATCTTAGCTATCATTAGGTGCCATGGTGCTAGATGAGCAATGGCTGGGTCTGATCCGAAACCAGTCGGGCAGGGATCTACATAGGGCACTACAGGCGGCGCTGCGTCGTACTGCGACGGTGCGAGCCGAGTTGCGGCTTGAGCGCGAGCGGTTGGTCAAGAGGTGGCATCTCCTGAAGCCGTTCATATCAGCAGGTTCCTATGCTATCCGCGTACAGATGTAGGATTTTATACTGCTTACTACGCGCGTGCGGGAAGTCAACGCGTTCTCTTAGAACCATCGTCAGCGCGCAGACCTCGACAGAGATAATGATAAGCGCACTCTTTGCCTCGCTTGCCCGCCGAGTCTCAGTCATTCCTTCCACGCAAGATGAGATCCAGTGGTGAGAGTCAATAGCAGGGTTGAAGAACGTCAGTAAGCGCCCTTCCTGGTACATAATGATGCTCGGCAACTGCCGAATGGCTTTGACGCGCAGAACTCGCGCTCGGCGGGCGCTTGTTGCAGGTTGTCTTCGTTGTCCACGTTCTGTGGGCGCAATGTATACCGCCGAAGCTTTCCTCGGCTGGCTTTGTCTGATACTGCTACGGGTGTATGCGTAGTGGCCGGCTAGTATGACATACGGCTCTAACTACGCTCACACACATGGCGCACAGCTCCTGTCTGAGCTTATTCTGGCTTCTTGCTCCTATCTTGATCTAAGTCCTAAGGCATCCTCGCGACCGGAATGACGCCGCTGGTGTGATGAAATTCTTGGGTACCTTTCTGCCGTATCAATCCCGACGCGTGTGTCTCGTCGATCGTGTGTGCCAGGGCACTCCTCGCGCGCTGGACTTGAGTCGCGCAAGCACCGTGACTCTGCTCTTGCCGTCACCATGGCCCCATCTGTCGAGGACTTGGTGGAAGAACGCGCTCGCCATCATGGTACGTGCTTGTCCTCGCTGTCAAGCCGAGAGCTGAGATCCCTCGCTAGATATTTTGAAACTAGCATACAAGCATGCGAGACAAGGATATCAACCCTCGCGCGAGACGTGGGAAATGACGGTACGCTCTCGTCAAGCTGAACAGCGTTACGTTTGGCCTGACTGGAATCATAGTCGAAAGCGGTGGTGGCTGGCACTCTCAGCTCGCTGAGCGACATTGCTCTGGCGGTCTACGGTTCGACCGCTAGCACTCCCGTGCACTCCGAAGAGAGCTTCGTCGACGACGGCTCTGGACCGAACCGACACATACCGTCCTGCGTGCGACACCCTCTCACGCCGCCTAGTGTGCTCGCGGTCATTGGTGAAGTCCTTCCGGACATCGATATCGACGCACCTGCTTGCCACGCCGCTGCAGCCAACTTGTACGGTCTTTGGCACTGCCCTGCGGTCGATTGCTCGCATATTGTCGATGTTACTCACATCCGCGCTGGAGACTTGGAGTTTTTGCTTCAGCATGCCGCCGGCAAAGCTGCTACGCTCGTGGCTCCCTCAGGAATAGGTCGCATCACTGCGGGAGATCCGTCCAATGCGCGCGCAGCGCTACAGTTACTGGTCTACCGCCACTTCGAGCGTGGCCATCTTTCCAGACGCGGTCTCGAGATGATTGTATCCCCGACCGTGCGCTTGCTAGATGGACAGGTATGCCCACTCGTTTCTCAAAATGGCGTGGAGACTAAGTGCTTCCTAGCACACTGTCACCTGGCGTTACAAGAGCGACTGGGTGGAACTGATGCCTGACCTTCAGTCTGCGTCTGCGGACGACGAACGGCGGGTGACGCAAATGCTGCGCCAATGGCTTTCTGACAAGGGTTCTCGGGTATGCGATCGTTTACGCCGCCCGAATTGGGTCAAGTATCGACTTTGGGCCCGTCGTGATCGTGCCGAGCGTCAACAAACTGTCCGTGCAGCTCTGGAGGCGGGACATTCCGACTACGAGGCGGCGTTCGAGCTATTCCGCCATATTCGCCTCGGCAACGCGCGCGACGACGACTCGGAGGTCTTTCAAGCTTACGTCCGGGCCGAAGGATTGGATCGCGACGTCCTCAATTTTATGATGCTACCCGTGCGGCCATGGCCGCGCGAATATCCGGCTTGGGCCAGTCTATCGGAGGCAGAGCGCGAGGAGATCATGAACGTATACGCGAGCGCCGACCATGAGGCGCAGTTGAAGTGCGAGCGTCGGATATACAATTATCCATTCCTGGTGGACTGGTGAACGTCTTTCTTGCTCTGCCCGATTGATGGTCCCTCCCTCGCGCTTTCTCTTACTTGTATGTGTACATCAGAACCATCCGGCTACAATAACCCGTTTTGAACTCCGTCCGGGCCCTTCGGGCCCGTGCCGAAGAAGATTGAGTACATCCAGTCCACGGACACATTTGAGTGATGCTAATATACGCCGCCACGAAACTGGTCTTTGCATTGAGAAGACCCGAATGCCGCGCACGTCTTCACCGGCAACAGAGTTTAACCTTGTGCCCCCATCTCCTCCTGTTTTTCGTGACGCCTGTAGGCACAGGCAGCCCCAGCTCAAAGGCGATACATCGATGGACTTCCCAATGGGTGATGAGAGTACGCAGCCGGACGACGAAGACAGCATGGACGGCCGCCACTTCGACAACCGTGGTCACGACTGGCTGGTACGCGTTTCGCAACGTAGCCCTCCTGGGGATTCTCTGACATATATACCACTAGGCTTCCAGATACTTCGAGCTTCTGGAGAGTGGTGGTCGCGCACGGACTCCTTCTGACTTCGGTACCGACACGACGAGCTCGGGCGATACGTCTGAGGGCGAAGGATTAGTGCGGGCTGACGCAAGGATAATACTGAGACATCTTGTTTATCGCGTCTTGCGCGTCATAGTGTGCACTGATAGCCGTCCCAGCGACTGGTATCGCGCTGAGGACCCGCGAGCACGCTGGATTTGCCCCTTGGAGGGGTGTACGCACGAGGTTGATCCGTTATGGCTAGATGCTGAGGCGCATGAAGCCGTCGTGGGCGTATTTGGCGCGTTAGGGATCACCACTGAGAGATGGACTGGTCACTCTGTGCTTGCGCTGAAGGAGGAGTGCGAACTCGACACGGATTGTTGCCGCTTGAGCACGTCTCGCGAGGAGGTCGCGTATAGGCGGTTGGCGATGGACGTTATCGGATGGAGCCATATAAGTACGTCTCATATGGTAAGCTACGGCGTCACCATACGCGATACTGGATGCATTGACCCGGAGAGCGGACTCGTGAGTACTGTGATCAACATCTATCAACCGGAACTGAGCTCGCTTTAGCGCGGTGTGGCTTTCATCAAGGCTGACACGGACGAGATTCTCGCTGCTTATGCGCCTGGTCTCGGCCTACCGGAGACGGACGAGCGCCATCGTCAGGCTCTGGAACGTGTTCGGCGCCACGAGGTGGCTCGCCTAACGGCGGAAGCTCACAGACTGCGTGTTATCTTGACGCGCTGGCACCGTCAACGGGAGCGTTTTCTCGAGAACGCGGTTTCCTTCTGCGACAAAGTTCCCCGTGCAGGACGCGAACCTTCTTCTATGGCTGGGCGCCTTGTTCTGCTTGGTCTGGAGCAGTTCCGCGAGCAACACGAGCCGACATGGGCTCCGGGAAGGTTGAGGGATGTTCGAGCGGCGGTGGTGGCGTGGGAGAGCTGGGATCTTCTTTCGTATCCGTATCCTAACTTTTGGGTCTGAGACATGTGGACGTAGAGTGTACCAACCTCGTGTAGTAGAAGAGAACGGTAAAGGCGACAACTCGACGTATTGAAGCGCGCAAATCACGTGAGCGCGTCGCGTCGCGTCGCGTTGATTTCGTGAGCGCCAGCAAGAGTTGGTTCAAACGTCGACAGTAGCTCTATTCGAAGACTGTATTCTCTACGCTTTCGGGGTATGAAGACTCGGATTTACTCAGACCTGAATGCTACGGCGACGGAGGAGCTGCGGGTCCGTACCGTACGAGATTGATCGGGAGGTACGTGATGTTGAATTTGAACTCCGGCTGTCCTCCCTAATCGTACTGTGATTCTCGCCCAGATATACTCTCGATCGTCTTCCATGCGGGACATGTGGTGCCCGGAAAATTCTCTGTACCGCTGTACCGTTGCGAGGATGTCTGCTATCCTCCTGTATCGTCTTCGGAGGCTAGCAGCCTCTCTGGCGTCGGGCGCGCACGCGACCGTCTTGCAACGTTTCAACAGTCTACGAAGGTGAATTATCTACGTAAGAATGCCATAGAAATACTGAAATCGGAGATACATCTTAGACGTCAGGGCGGATGCTCCGACGCAGCCGGAAGTCGCGCCGTCCAGACTCCATGCATAGCGACCGACGCCGATGTCTGTGCCTGCGGGTGGACCAGTGGACCGCTCCTATGCGCTCTGTGCGACCGGCGCACTCTCTGCGTTGGGCCCTTGACTTCGCTCGTGTGGCTCGGCGTTCACTTGTCCCGCGCTGTGATTTCTCTCTTCCCAAGCTACCTCATCGTCCTCCCCTGCGCTTGCTTGCCCGCCCTTGAAGTCATGGCCGGCAGAGACATATCGATCTCGAACACGGTAGCGACTCACCTGACGCGCTTTACGCCCGAGTTGCGTCGGATCGAGGGCCTTCCGAACCAAAACGGTCGCGAGGTGAAGGAACTCAAGACGAACTTCTACGCGAATACGACACGCTCGGTGTTCTGCGCGTTTGGCTGGCCTGGACCCTTTTCCAAGACTGCTCCGGCCGCGGACGCAACTTGGTCCTACAATGAAATACCACGGTTACCTGAGCTGGACGAGGCGCAGGCGGCATTGAGGGCGAAGGAGCTCGAAATCGCGGTTCCCGTACGTTGATCACCATGTTGTCCTCGCTGGCGTGCGTATTGACGAACTATGACCAGTACGTTCAGAGATGGTACGGGAGACGCCGTCGCGCGGCGAACGGTGGTGGTGGGAGCAACGAGGAGCTAATGCTCCGGAAGCAACATATCGAACGGCTGTTTGCTTCGCTTGCACCCCCCCCAACGCTCGGCCGCGCTCTAGACTACTACCAGAGCGAGCACAGCAATCGCTACAAGGACGACTTCGCCGCATTCTGGCAGCGGCTGGTCGACGGTGCAATTAACGACGACGCGCTGAAGGCTCTGAACAAGCGGAGGGCGGGCGAAGAACGTCGTTTTGCCTCTGAGAGCTACGCGCGCGAGCCGGCGGACTTCGTGGCAGGCGTCGAGGCGGCCGTGCGGGAAGAACACGAGAAGGCGCTGGAACGTTACAACTCTCTATTCGGCAACCCGGATCAGACTTCGGCCAACTCTCGCGCCTGGTATGTCGAGACTCCGTAGTGAAGCCAGAACTGCGACTCACATGCAGCAGGATTGCGCCTGAAATGGGCGCATTTCTTCAGCTATTCCTGGACTGGTTCTCGATGCGATACGGGGTCGCGACGACGCTTCTTGTATCGGGTCAAACTGACAGTGGGATCTCGGATTGTCGGACGTGAGTGAGAGATTCTCTAGGACATGTATGAGGACGCTCACGGTCTTTTCTGCAGGGTGTTTGGTACGGGTGCAAGGCGCGCGGGTTCCGCGACGTTGATAGACATGATGGGAACCACCCTTCGTGAGGCGAGGATCCAGATGCGCGCCTACGCGCAGAACATACTCACCGGAGAAGTCGCGCAGGGTGTCGGAGAGATGCAGGAGAAGGGTGATGGAGACGAGGAAGACGGGCGAGAAGACTTTAGCGAGGCTTTGCGTCAGGTAAGATGCATTGACCACAGATCATTGAGACGAACTAACAACCATACAGGCGGGCGATGCGCGTGAACCTCGAACTACAGGAGATTGGGCCCCAGACCCTTCGGAAACGGAACGCGGACGTTCTGGTGTCCGTAACCCGCGCCATTCGCCTCGTTCTGTGAGCGCCTCTAGTGCGGACACAAGGCGTGGAGCACAAGGACCATCTTCCCTTCCCCAGGCGGGTGCGGGTGCACGCTCTGCGGCCGAGATCGACGTTAGGCGCGCGGCGACTACGCAGCCACCCACCCGCAATCCAGAGTCAAGTCTCTCCCGCCCTGGAGTGTCCGGTAGCACGGCCGCGGGGTTGCGCGGTCCGGCTGCTCACCGTGAGGAGAGTCGAGCGCGTACACCGTCCCACTATTCGTTCAACAACACCCTGCGCGAAGATCCTGGTGCACCACGTCGTCTTGCACCCGCTGTACGTGCGGGTAGTGCGACTGCTGCACACGTACTCGACCGCCAGGCTGGGTTTGCATCTGCAGTGCCCGGGTCCTCGAATGCGCCGGTGCTCGCGGGTCGCTCCGGAGCCGTTATGGAGCCAGACGGGCCGACGCAGGAGTTGCCCTATCCCTTTGCTTCGCTGGACCCGAACGCGAATGACGACGGAGAGACAGCGCTCCCGATTCCGGATTGGACCTGGCCGTTCGAGTTGGATGCGAGGAACCGTGCACCATCGGACGACGACGCTGGAAGCTTTGGGGGAGGGATGTCATGGCGTGGCCGAAGTCGCTTACCATCGGCGGCAAGCAGTATCAGCGGCATGTCGAGGGGTTCGCGTATGTCTCTGCCTCCTGTGGAGACAGACGACGAGGGGGTGGATGCGGATACGCTGCATAAGGAGATGTATAAGGATAGGCGCCAAAAAAACCCTGCGCCCAGGAAACGCCGCGACAAGAATCGAACGAAGGGAAAGGAAGTCGACAAGCCCGATGCCGCGCAAGGCTCGACAGCGGCGGCTGACGCCGTAGACGGTGAGGGCGGTGTTGGAGGGGGCGGTGTGGAAGGACGGAGGGTCGGGAGGGATACGTCGGATATCGAGAAGTGGTACGAGGAGATGCGCAAGAAGAAGGCGCAGTCGATACCTAGGCCGAAGCAATTGCCGGGAAGGGTTGCGCGTACCACCGCGACGTCGGCGGATACGCCTGGGAGGACTACGCGGGCGGATTCCTCTCGCGGAAAGGCTGCGACTGCCTCGAAAGCGACTGCCGCCGAGTCCGCGAACGGCACGTCTACCACTACGGGAGATGTGGTCGACACTGCGCCGCTTCCACGCCGACGCCAACGCCAGTCGCTCTCCGGGTCGTCGCTGCAAGAGTTGACACAGCCAAAGCCCGCGCGCAAGAAACGCCGCGCTGTCCTGGACAGCGACGACGAGCAAACCGTAAGTGGAAGCTCTCTGACTACCAACAGAGGCACGTTCGCTCACGTACCGCATCCCAGAACCACGGCAACCCCGTCACCAGGAATGACGATTCCGCAACGCGAGTGGTGAGTGTCAGCCACATTAGGTCGTATTAAGCACAGTTCGCTGATGAGACTACAGTCCAACGACCCTAATGTTCCCGACGTACTGGCATACGCGAATGTACGTCTCCCTTGATGTCAACTGTGTGACTAGGCTCGAACGCAGTACAGGATTGGGCGAAGCGTCACTCGGGCGCTTCGTATACGTTAGTAACGGGTGCAGCGTGGGATGCTTACGCGAGGGAGAAGCGATCCGTCGTCGTGAACGCGATTCATGCGCTGGGCGACGCGGATGACAAGAGGGCGTACGCCGACGTAGTGGAGAAGATGGAGGCTCTTCTCGCGTGCGAGTCAAACTGGGTATGGGGCATTTTCATGTTGCTCCCGGATTGCTTGATACTGAACAACGTACGCGTAGGATCCAGCAGGTAGCAAGCAGCTGCCGAACGCGCATCGGCCGTCCGGAGTCGGCGCAATGATAAAGGCTCGTGGGGCGCTCGTGGCTGGCACGGCACTGTCCGCTAGCTTCGGGCGCGACTTTGTGCGGTGGTGGATTGCGCTCCAGCCGAGCGAACGAGCGCCCGCGAAGGCCGCGAGCGTGGCGGACTTGCTTCCGGCGGGCTCGAACATGGACTGGGCGACGTTCACACAGGCGCGGGGGTACAAGGGAGCCTTCCTACTTGTGTGGTGCCTCGCGCATTGGGCCATGCATGAC